ATAATTCAATATGGGGCATTAATTTTCATTAACTATCGAGTATCGAACTTTCCTACTATGTTGCGCGGCCGTCAGATATTCCCGAAGGAGTCTGCACCGCATCGATTTTCCCCCGGGAGATCCAGTGTCCTCAATGAGGAGATAACAGCAAGTTTGGAGAGACCCGCGAGTTGTATGTAACACGAAAATAAACTACGGGATACAGTCGCCATCAAAGGTGCACTCTATATTAATTATGTATGATAATGTAAATTGTAAATAGTCCTTACATTATCGCGATATCGACATGTTACTATTAATTAATTTTTTTAACGTGTACTTTTATAATATAGAACGCAATTACAGGAAATCTTCTCAAAATGCGCTCGCTATACTTCTTTACTTCTACTAATTGTAAGATTGCGGAAGGAGTCAGATATCTCTCTCTTTCGCAGAAAATTCCTCCGCATTTTAAGTGAATTATGCTAACGAAGTTCATTAAAACGCGGCAAGCTGGTTTCTGGGCGAGGATTAAATTAGTTTTAAGTAATTTGCCGCTGTGTAATAAATTCTAAATTCGTCTTTTCCTCTTTCGCGCTTTTCAGACTCATCCGCGAAACAATCGCGAGATACGCCTCGTCAAATCATCGTTGCGTGAAGCGAATTCGGTTTATCGTTGGAACAAGAAAATATATGGCGTTCTACATTTCTCGTAATATCCATCGCGATTTTTACATCCTTCTCGCAGCATTGCGGAGAATCGAAATTCGCGAACGGAAATCTCGGCAATCGGTGAACGCCCAATCCGGTGCGACGACGTAACGATTCTTACGAATTTCGCCTCGTAACTGCTCTTTGAACTCGCGCGAGCGTTCAGCTCGTTTCTCACGAACGAGGCCAGAAATCGTAACGTAGTATTTCACTCGTCTGCAAATTTCTTTGCCGCTGTAATTTACGCCACCGTAATGGCCGCCGTCCCGATAAACGGTCGCATCTTCAAGGGTCAAGGAAAATGGACGGTAAAACTTTTTTTTTCGAGAAAAACGTATTGCACCTATGCAGTTGGTCGTAAACAGCTTAAAGAGTCGAGCAACCGTAAAATTCTTTTAGAAAACTATCGCTCCCAGGAAAACAGAAATCTACAAACAACGATTAAGATACGAGAAAAAGAATGGGATTGTAAGTAAAAAAATTGAATTAAGTTATCGGAAAATCGCGAGATAAATACGCGCCGTAATGCGCAGAAAAAAAGGGAAAACGGACGATTTCTGTTTTAAATTAGCGGACAGTAGAAATAAAGTAATGAAAATGTTATAATTTATTTTATAATTTCGTTTAACATCTACTTCTCTCCCTCTACAAAGTGATCCAACATTATTTATTATTTCTTTATCTGCTGAAGTACAAAAAAAAAAATTGGAACATCGCTATTCCATATACAACACAGAGATCACGCGATCGAAATCTGCGAAGACCTGCAATGCACGTAGATCTCGTCGCGTTCTTCGATATATGACGAGAGGAAGAGGGCGAAGGGAAACGAAGAGAGAGGGAAAGAGGGAAACGGGCGGTCTCGGGAAACAACGAGAAAGTGTTTCACCTGGCGAACGTGACCGTGTGAGGTCGCGATCGCCGTTAAGCCGATTTACGGGCGCACGTGCGAGCATTCCGCGAGCTCAATGAGACGGATAATGACGTTAAGAGGATCCACCAGGAGCTTCCGCGCGGCACTCACGTGTCGTGTATGCGAGATCGCCTCACGTTTTGTCTTCGTTTTCGTCACCGCGAGACACCTCACGTTCGCGTGCACCGTGTTGCGTCGCTTTGCGCCGACGACACGCTTCGCGGCCCATCGCGAGATGCACCCACGTCAAAAACCATCGTGTCGCGACTCCTATGGATAACTTCCTTGTCACAAGGAATTTTTTTTTTTCCTTGACGTCAATAGTTATGTAATGAATTGACAAATTTTCTGTGGCAATCTGTAATCGATATTTCAGCTGAAAGTTTGAAAAGATAAAAAGCCAGTGTTGATTTGGTGATCATAATAAGAAGGGATAATTTTGATAGTGTCGTGTTCCTTTTGTTTTAACGATAGCCTGCTGTGTGCAAGTTGTTGCATTTTATATAAATTCTTATTTATAAAGTCCACTTTGAAGAATTTATTGTACAAGATAACAGTTCGGTGCGTTTTTTATTTATAATTTATGTCGTACATTTTAAGATATGTGGTATACTTATATTTTATATGTATATGTTTATTTTCTTAATTAAATATATTTCATATTAGACAATCATAGACATCATAGAAGTTGTTATAAAACTATTTGTAAGGAGCGGAATTATTTCATTTTTTCTAAAAAACATAATAGAAATCTAGGAAATAACTGAACAATGCTGATTAGAATTTGTTCCGAATGATTTCATAATTAATCTCCAGATTATAAATAAAATATCATTCTGAATTCTAATAAATTACAAATTTCCAAAATAAGCTTTAAGTAATAATATTTTTCGTATATATTAAATACGTAATTTTTAAAAGTAACTAATACTTATTCCAGCTTTTTATTAAAATATTATATTATTGTATCATCAATATTATCAATGAACATTGATAAATAATTAAAATAGATTGAAGGTCGATAAAATTATTCTACATAATCGTCAGTGAATATTCTCAATTTTTTTTAAATATTAATAATAATGGAAAAATATTATACGAGAGAATACTGCCTTTTCCTCTTTGTTATAAAGAAAGCTGCGAGATACAACTAATAATACAATCTATCGTTGCGGCAATTTTATAGATGTCCTGTTGAAATTGTGTGTAACGTATCTGTTGCAGTTATCTAGAGATATATAACGAGAGAGTGAGAGATCTCCTGAAGCCGTCGACGAGCACGAGCGGGCTCCGAGTTCGAGAACATCCTCGACTAGGACCTTACATTCAAGGTACTCTGCTCGTTTACCGTGAAACGTCGCGTACCGAGGACGTCGGCTAAAATTCCTCGAGAGTTTTCTTACGCAGTGTGTACTTAAGTCTGCGCCGTTTAAAGCCCCCAACATCCCTTTATTTTGCTCTTTCACCATGCTATAACATTTCTCCCACTCGTCGCGTTATTATGGTCTAATATAAAGATATAAATATGCTTAAACGTTATATTAAATATTATATTAAATATACTATTATTAATTCCGCGAGTAAAATTTTTGATAACATAATATTTAAATATTATCCCTTTTGCACCCCAAATTGATACATCAGAAAATATTAATAAAATTTTTATTAAAATAAAAAGAAGTTTATGAAATTAAAAAAAACCTTAGTTTAATATAATTACTATTGTCCATATTCAAAAATAGATATATTTAGATTTGTCGTTTAATTTCAAATTATTGCATATTCATGTTTTTAAACTGTCGACTAACTGAACTGTTCCTAGATTGTTGAACATTTCGGAATAGATTGATTCTCAAATCCCGTCATTTTAGAATCAAATTTTAAAGCTGTCTGAAATATAATCTTAGAACTTCTGGAAGATCGACTTTTAGAATAATAAAATTTCCCGATAATAGATCTCCTTTCAAGAATTGCGATTATAAGGCTTGAAGATTACGGTGCGGTTGCGATGCGGTTGCGGTGTGGGTGCGGTTGTGAAAGCTTGACTTGCGTCATAGTTTCACTCATCGACGTAATCTACTCCGATAACTGAAACTCAACCGACACATCATGATCGCGATATGAATTAATGCGCTTTGTCATCATCGACGAATCTCCGCTCGATCGATCCGCCTTTTCTTTAAGGGTTAACGCACCACGTGGTCCGCACCCTGGGGTCGTTGATATCATACGTGGAGGAGGGCACGAAGGCTAGGAAGACAGCTTCGACCCTTCAGAACCCCAGCAGCAGTCGTAGCCACGCTCTGCTGACCGTCGATCTCTCGCAGGAGACGGCCGGCTTCGAGGGTCCCAACGGCAGCGGCACCTCCTCGTCCTCCAGGAGGCAGGACGTCACTTCGCGCGGCGGTAGCAGGTTGCACCTAGTCGATCTGGCGGGCAGCGAGAGCGCGGCCACATGCAGCGGCGTTCATCGACTGAAGGTGAGTCATTTCCTAAAAATAATATCGTCCGCTGGAATATTCGCCGGCTGAATTTCGCGCGATGGAAATCGATATTCGCGCGGGCCCGCTCCGCGAATGGATAGAGCCGCCGTTATCAATCTCGCCCTGGCCGCCGCGTCGCGAGCTAATAGACTCGCCTGATCGACCGTCAGACTTACCTGTGAAAGCGTGAAAACGAGCGCGACGAAACAAATTCAAAACTACTTTACTATCGGTTTCTTTTTTTATTATTGTATCAATAAAGATCAATAAAGATATCGATCTCTTGTCCGTCATTGCTGGAGCATAAGTGTTTAAGAGGGACTAACGTTCGTTTAGCGACTTCTATAGTATCCATCTTCATTTTCATCGCGAGCATAATTTTGTGTGTAATTGTATGAATATAGATTTATTTTCATAGATTTTTCATACGTTCAGTGAAGAATATAGTGCAGATAAACATGTTAATGTTCCACGAATTAATCCATGTGCAATGTTGATGTGATTATGCCTTCTTCGGTACGGAAGGAATCATCAAGAAATCGAAAAAATTCAGGAATTATCGCTTCACGTATGAAAGGCAAAGTACGTTTTTGTTAATAAAATTCGCACGTTAAACTAACAAATTCTATAACTATTATCGATAGATTTGTATTTGATTCAAAAACATAGATGTTATTATGGTCATAATATTTTTATAATTCCTATAATATTTTTTATAACATTTACCTTGATGATTTGAAAAATAGATAATTATTTATGTTTTAAAATGTTGAAACATTTCGAGTTAGGAATAAAAAATAAAAAAGTGAATAAAAATATTCAGATTAGCACTATTTCAATGTTACTTTCTTTTTTTCATCTTTTTTTGCAATAATTTTTGCAGGAGGGTGCGAATATCAACAAGAGCCTGGTGGCTTTAGGGAACGTGATATCTGCACTCGCCGAGAGAGGCTCAACCGGAAGTAGGCCAGGAAGAAGATACATCCCTTATAGAGATTCTTCGCTCACTTGGTTGTTGAAAGATGCACTCGGCGGAAATGCCACCACCATTATGCTCGCCAGTAAGTGTCTGATGGTATTTTCCTTTTGATCTTTCCCCTATCGTCCTCCCAAAGTCGTATTCTCCCCCTTTTTCAGCCCTCGTAATCTTAGAACGTTCCATCGACGTTAAGAGATTTCCTTCCGGGAATATTCTGTTCGCGCAAATCGCGTTTCGCCGTGTGTATTTTCGTGAGGAAATTATAAGCTCGCTTTTCCCCTCTTTTGATCTCGAACCCTCCATTTTAATATCCTTTCTGTTGCCAGAACGGTGCGCCCTTCTCGCGCGCAGATTGAAATCCAACGACCAATTCGACATTGCTTAATTGACCCTTTTAGTGCGAGCTTTTCATGCTAATAGAGTTAATTACGATCAAGCAGTTAATCGATTAATTTCTACCTTTCTTCTTTGCTTTTCACCTGTTTCTGATTAAAGATTATTAAAATCATTCAAATGTTTTCCTCCGAAAACGATTCGTGATCACCAAATTGGAATGAAAAGCCGGCTATTTCTTTTCTCTCTTACTGCGGCAATTTCTCGTCCTCCCGTAAATTCTGTTAGTTATCGGAGAAGAAATATTATCGTGAGATTCGTGAAATTATTCCCATTCGCGATAACCCGGGTTGGATGGTAATTGGTTTAAATGCTTTTCCAGGCGAGCTAAGACGCGGAGATTAAATTTCAATAGAGCCGAGATAGAGAGGCGCGAGAAGCGGTAAATAAGAAATCTGTAGTGGGCTTGCGACAGTTGCTACGTGATCGATTTATCGCCAATATTCCTCCCGTAGAATATTAGTAGTTATTATCGAATATGATTTAATATCTTATAATAACGCAATATATACGAAAATGAACGCTTTACGATTATAATAAAAAATTACCTTTACATTTAATAAAAGGTTATTAATACGAATTCTTTTTAATAAAAAATTATGATTATGTTTGTAAATAACATTTTATAAACATTTAATCAAACTAAATTGTAAAAATGATGGACTTTGGACAAGTTCGAATTTTTATGAAAATTTCAGTTAATGCATTTTTAATAATATTGGCAAGACTTTAGCTTTGTAGAAAGCATGTTAGAGATATTTAGGAATCTAATTCGATTTCTCTGATAAATTGTTCGTCGCAGATTTATCTTTCATTTTAATGTTACTTTACTATTTTAAAATGGTTCTAGTTAAATTTGATTCTTTTTGATTATATTAATCTTCATAATCGTGCTTCTTGAAGAAATAAATATCTTTGAATGAAACGAAAACCGTATTAGAAAACCGTCGTCGATCGTAAATGACGATTAACATGGAAATCGCTATTTTAGAACAGGGAAATGCTATCTTCCCGTAGAAACCTATTGTAGTTAGATCAAGCACGTAGAGAGAATTGCGTTACATAGTATTAATAGACAATCTTCATTTTTATGAACAAAAAAATTTTTTCTATTCTGAATTAAATTCAGAAATATCGGATTTAAAGCAAGCAAATATAGAATTTAAAGCAATCATAAAAAAAGAATACTGATCTCTATTTTAGCTACGATTATAAATTATTAATCTTTTCCATTTCTATTTAATTTTCTCTGATCGAATTTGTAGCATGATTGCGTGCGGCAGAAGAATAATTTGCGGAATACATTACGTTCGTAATTGTCGAAATTGAAGAGGAGGGCGAAATCTATTTGCACTTTTACTTTTTACCTCTCGTATCGTTGATGATCCTGATATTTTTATCTCTTCTCTATCGCGCGACGATAAACCAGCGAAACGACTGACGTAATTGAGCCGGCGGCGTGGAGAGACGTTAATCAAGGGAAGGCGCGCCGGTCTTCCTCCTCTTTCGACTTGTCACAATTAATTGCCGAAATGGAAGAGCCGATCGCACGATCTGTATAATTGGCCGGGGAACAACGGCGGCACGGCGAGTGTTTTGAATTTTGCGAATACTTCTAGCCGGCCCGGCGACGTGTATAATTAATCGTAGCGGAATATTCCGAACCGCTGATCATCGGCAATTAATTGAATTGCTAATAGCATTTCGGTTTATTATCGGGGGAGACGTTTAATATTCAGCGGGCCCGCATTTGTGATTGAGCGTATAGCGCGTAGATGAATAGACATTACATTATCCGCATACACTACCGGCGCGGTGGCGCGGATTTTATACGTCGGTTCTGTCGGCGATACGACGTCTGGGAAAAGGATACCGTCCGCTCGAAAATTCATTTCGGATTATTGGAGCTCTCGGCGAGCCGTGAGTTATTTCCGGTTGACTCGGTCCACCCGCGGAGTTCCATTCCACACGTACATTTTCTCTCGATTAATTCGACAGACTCCAGCTGTTAGAGCTATCTGATGTGTCTACGGAACGCGACGAATCTTAGATATAGATATTCCACGGGGGACCGGGGGGGGCAAGAGGGGTGGAGTATTTCTGTACTACTGAAAATGCACGTGACGTTCTCCTTGGAGAACCGAAGACATGTCGCACGGTCTCACAGTTATCTCCGAATAGGCAAGCAGTATCTTGTGATTATTTCACGATAGGCACTTCTAGTAGATATTATTTATCAAGCAATCTCATCATTATCAGTGCCTAATGTACGATTAATCTAATGTGTGCGCTGATGTACGATTGTACTTAGAATGCCGCAGTCGCTAGTGTTAACTAGGAAATCGCACCATAACGATTAAATAGTTGTAGTTGGAACGTACGTTAATTTTAATGTGTGTTATCTTCAATGAATCGAATAATATGGATTTTATTGTTCCTTTCAGCAATATCTCCGGCTAGTGGAAGTTATAACGAGACCGCGCATACTCTGCGATTCGCGCAAAGGGCGCAAAGCGTGGTCAATCGACCAGTGGTTAACGAGGATCCCGTGGAGAGAATCATCCGTGAATTAAGGGCTGAAGTCGCCAGATTGAAATCTTTATTATCGGAAAAGGCAAGAAATTTATGGATCTTTTACTCAAATTATGCGTGAAAATATTAGCGACGACCAAATACCGAGATATCGTTATTAATTGAGAGACAGATAGGCGTTATTCAGAAAATATGAAAACGTATTTTCAACGTCCTATAAATAAAAAAATGATTTAACATTTTTCGAGTAATCGAGATAATTAAATAAAATTTGACACGAATAATACGATACGAATAGATTTAAATATTAACTCAGACCTCGATGGAATATCAGTAATTTGTAGATTTCAGAATTATTTTACACGCAGTCGGATATCTCTCGATTTTTCACAAATTTGACCTGCCAAAGTGTTATTTTAATCGAATAAAAATTAACACCACCTACTCGTTTGTCTTCTGACTGGCTGCTGGAATGAAAAATCGAGTTTGGCGGAGGCGAGGCTGAAAACGCGAAAAGATTTAATCCCTGGCCTGATGTTGATCGAGCGACTTTATAACGCGGCCGGAGATTCGCATGCTGCCGGCAGAAAATATTAATGAGCTTCGAGCGGCGCGATCGGTAATAGCGCCGCATTATAAAACAAATTTCGCAATTTCGCCCGACGCGACGTGAAGCGCGCGGATCCGCGATAAATAGCGGCCGATTTTTCAGTCGCGCTTTAAATCGCGCGCGAGAGAGTGTGCGAGTTTATTATCGCGGGTTTATCAATACGAGCGGCTGGCTCCGCGATATTGTCCGATGTCATTACGCAAATGAGATTCATTGATCGTTTATTTGACACTTATTGAGCGCCCGTTGCGAGCGATTGGCCGAACGATTGCTGATAAAATATAGCACGCCGATGCGTTACACTTAACGAGCGAACAGCGTTTCCATTTCCATCAGGTAGTCGCCATCCTTCATTTCCGCACGTTGCATAATCGCCGATTAATTAAATTCCTCATGCCTCGTCCGCAATTGCGACTTCGCCGAGCTATCCGCGAGCGTCCACGTCGTGTATTTTAAATCCGAGATAAAATATTATTCATGCACAATAATAATTTTTTTTGAAAGATAGAATATCATAATTGTAATGTATATTGGAAGTGGAAATATTGAAATATAAAATCAAACGCTCCTCTTCTTCGTCAAAGGCAGAAAATAGAAAGCTAGAAATTATTACCAATTCATATCGACATGGATTAAATATTAATATGAAGTGTTGATTTAAGTATCAATTTATGATTTTAATTAAAGTCGAAATTATTGCATATTTTAATATGTAATATAAAATACTCTTAAAAAATATTATATATAAACGTGAAAAATTGAAGATTATCTAGAATCTAGAAAAATTTATAAAAAAAAACGCATAATTTAAGTAATAATAAAGCACTCACTGCATAATAAAGCGAAAAATTAAAAATTAAGATTATACAGTTTTAAGAAACTTCCAAATAAGTTATATTCATTCTCGGATTTAAATTCAAATTAGTTACACGAATCTTATTGCAGGATATCGACCAGAACAAGGCGCCGTGTTGCTGCGGCAAAGTTCAAAGTTCAAAGGATTCGGCGACGGATCCTCAGTATCACGAAGAACAGAAATCGCGCAACACTTCGCGATCTGAGGAATCCGAGGATCATAAAGACAAGAGAACGAATGAGAACAGATTTTTTGATGTGCTTCCGATAAGAAGAATCAATTCTAGTGATAACGTGACAGTTTACGAAGCGAGTTCTTCAGGGTCCATCAGAAAGTTCAACTCCTACGAACATCTTCAACCTCAGGATCGCTTCGGTAATTACAATCGGGCCAAGGTCACCGAATTGAACGACGAGGACGACGAAGTGGTGAACGAGATAAACGAACCGGTCTTTGTGGATATACCGACTCTCGTGGCAGTGTTGATCAAACCGGACGACAGCTTGCAAGAATCGTCAGCGCAGATAGAAGAGATTTGCTCTGACGAGGTGCAAGAAGACTCTATCGATGCCGATTTTATAGAAGGCAGCAATGAAGATTTCGAGGAACCGGAGAGAATTGACGATGTCGATCCTGACGATCGCAACATTTCAGCAAATTCCTGCAACCGAGTCTTGAAAGACTCGGAGATCGCCGATCTTCATCAGATTACATCGGAATGCCCTCCAGCGAGCCCGGCGTCTGTCGGAAGAAGCAGACCGAGAGGAAAGTTCAGCAAGCAGAATTCCGTCGACTTACCTTTGTCGAATCTGAACGTCTCAAAGAAGTATGGCTCTATCGACGGAATTAACAAGAGGAAAGAACCTATTTTTAGCGTTCAGCGATCACACACGAACTTGGAAAAACGTCCGGCGGTGTCTGATCGTGGGAAGAAGCTCAATAACATCCGAGAGATCGACGATCGTAAGGCGAACGTTAAGTCAGGAAGCATCTGGAAGGCGATCGGTAACGTCGGTAGCAAAGATCATCTGCAGAGGAAAAGCAGCAACGAATCTGACAAGAGTTTGAGGGATTCTAACAGCGGTAGAACAGGTAGCTACAGCAATATCGGCAGGAAGCCGAGTTTAGAGAGCTTGAAGAGAAAGACCAGTAAGGATAGTAGCTCGAGCAGCTCTAAGGACGAACAGATCCTGATTTCCAGCTTGACGCGCGACAAGTTAACGCGCAGAAAGAGCTCCCTGGATCAGGAAGCGGTAACAGCGGCAGCAACGACGATAGCCGGTGGTGTAAAGCACACGGCTATTCAGAGAGTGAAACGTGCCGAGATCGTGGCAGCCGTCACGGAGAGACTCTACTCCAGCAGGAAGCACACGGAGGAGACCAACATGGCGAGCAGCAACGCGTCGGACACGCGTTCACCGCCGGAAGGTACCGACGTGAAGATGTCGAGCAGCCTCATCGCGCGATCGAGGCTTCAAGAGATCTCGCGAAAGATGCTGATGAAGCGACGGAGGATCAGCGTGGACACGCAGACGGAAACGGCGTCGACGCTGCGTTTCAAGGATACGGCGAGCCTGACGGACGAGCCCAAGGTGGTCCTTCAGGACGCGTCGGTCCTTACGGACGATCATACGGACAGTGACGTCACGATAGTCGCGACGACGGATCGCCGACTACCCGTTCTCAGAGTGAAGGACATGGCGACGCTGACGGACCGACGGCCGCAGATCAGCATCTTCCGCTGCAAGGACGCCGAGAGCTTGGCCAATGATCTCGATTTCGACGATTACGAACTCCACTCGCCACGAAATGATTCTGGTATACTCTCCGACGACGCGCAGAATTACGCCGAGAGCAATCTGTCCAGCGCCGACGTGTCCGAGCTTTATCCGGAGAGTGGTGACAGAAGAGTGCCGTGTGTGGACAGCTCGACCAATACGTTCCTCACGTCGCCAGGAAGGAACTCGGCGGTGCAAACGGCACGTCTGGAAACAACGAGTCGGCGGAAGGATAACTCGGAGAACAGAAGTTGCAGCGGGTGCTGCAGTCTAATACACGAATTCAGCCAGAATGCACGAGCGAGCAGTCCCGAGAAGAACGTCATCTCCATATCTCTACCGGAAATGATCAGCATAACTATAGAGAGCACGAACGGTCTGGAATCAAGAATTGCGGTGGTGGACGGCAGCGACGCCGCGGAGGAGAAGCCAAAATTCATTTCCAGCGATAAGGCGGCTCAGACGGATGAAGAGATTAAAAATGAAACTGAAAAGTCTGTTCTAAAAGATTTTACAGTCAAATCAACGGCTATTCAAGCGGACGGCAGAGTTTTCAGGATCGAGAATATTTTCCAGGATCCGAGGAGCAACAACTGTCAAGACGCGACTTGCGATCTGAAGAAAGAGACTGTATTAAAGAAGTCGGTAACTTTTAGAAATTCCTTGGGCACTTCCTCCGTCATCGAGACGGAAGAGAATGGCACAAAGCCGGAATGGGACGGATTGTACATTAATGATGTTTGTGAGAAAACGTGGCCGATTCTGAATGGCGGCTTAACGCAGGCTTTCATTATTAAGAAACGCAGTTACAGTTTAAATTCTAGAAGACCAATACACAGATTTGCTTGCTATGATTTGTGGAAGAACTGGACCTACCCGTGTCCAGAAAGATACGCTGATTTTGCTAATTACGATGAAAAAACATTGACTATGCCATCTTGTGGACAGCAAGATAGTAATTTAAAATTAGTTGATAACTTCCTTTTTTCTACGATAAGTAGCGATTGTACTTCTGATGACAAAATTTCAGAAGAAGTGATTCAGGAATCATATAATAAAGATTCCGAGAATAATCACGAGAACTTGAAATCAAAATCTATTTCGTCAAAGAGCTTATTAAATGATCATAATTTTTCGGATGACAGTCTTGATTACGACGAAGATAACGTCGCGAGAAAGTCATTCGCGGAAACAATGGATGATGAGAATTACGAGAGCCTTTGTCCTCCAGATGTTGTTGCGCACACAAAAAAGGAAGCTTCAAAGTTGACGAATCATGTGAACTCAACCAACATCGAGTCCTCGATAAACGACGATTTTGATGACACCGAGATAGAACTTCCGAGGAAAAAACCTGTTGAAATATCAGAGAGGAATCCAACAAAGGATTATAAAGAGTTAATATTAGGGACGTCATCGTATATCGTACAAAGTGATTCTGAAGAAGAAGCGACAACATCCAGTCAATCTGGTAATATCAATAAGAAGAAGGTATCTTTTTCAAATCCCAGTAACTTCGAGGAGATGACTAGTCGTAAAATTCTGATATCAAAGCAAAACTCGGAAGCTTTGAAATCTATTATTAAGATGAAGAGAAACTCGATAGAAACTGAAACTTTGGACATTATTCAATCCAATGGTGAAATTGATCAACCTTTGCAGGCGAAAGAGATAGAATCGACGAAGAGTGAGGAAGTCTTGACTGTCTTGAAAGAGAATCATGATGCTGAGAACTCCGAAGAATCGTTTAATGATGAAGTAGAATTTTCCAACAAAGATCATTGCGGAGATCCTTGCGAGAACGCCGTCGAAACCAGTGTCGTCACCGATAAAGACACTCGTTCTCGTGCGGTGTCAAAGAGAAATATTCTTGAAGAATATCTGAATGAGGCAATGATCTTCATGCGCAACATGAACTCTATCAACGAGTACATGAGTGCCACAAATATGTTGGAAAACTGCGGGAAGCGTCGCAAAAGACGAGGAAGTCGTCATGGCAACAATCCGGACAAGGATAGGAATTATATAGAATTCCGAGGACGCAAAGTGAGCTTGAAGGATGACACGGACAAGTATTTGCAACCGAACAATAATGACGATGTTGCGGTCGAATCCTATGTGAAATGTTTGAAGGGCATCGAGAGATTGGAGGCGTGCATTGAGAAGGTCAGCGAACACAATCAGATCCTTCGAGACAGATATGGCATCGACGTTGAGTCTACTGGCGCTAAATCGAGTTTAGCGAGTCCCAGCATAGACTCCATGTCCAGTATCAATGATAGCGTGAGTTACCGATACAAAAGTGATGCTGACAGTTGCAATAAGTCTGGCCTTTCCAGGATTTCCTTACCCCCTTTGTCTTCCACTGACATCGCGAACCGGTTAAGTGAGATAGAAAAATATCAAGTTGTTACGAAGACGGTCGAACATGATCTTGACGACAAGAACAACAATATTACAACCGAGGATAATCTCGAGCACAAAATCTTCGATGAATTGATGCGCGCTACCGATTTCAAGTGCTGGAGCCCGAAGCAATCCCGACAGGAACGTCTCCAGAAAATGTCCGATCTTAGGTCGCAAAGCTCGACAACTTACTCCAAGTTACGAGGGACTTTCCAACAGAACGCTCGTGGCATCCTTAATTTCGACAAAGTTTCCGTCACCGAGGATTATCTTGGTCACATTCGTGGAATTGAGAGTAGACCTTGGACGTTTAGGAAAACGAAACTTTCGGATCAAACGGACGATATTAGCTCGAGAACATCGATCGGTTTCGAGACTGATTCTGAGAAATCTTGCGACGAATCACCGCAAGATAATGGTAATTTAAAATCGGAAATCGAGGCATCGAAGCCGACAATTTTTCAAACAAAGCTGGATTCCGATCGTCTGATAAATTCTAGAAAATCGATCGAGACAGGACAAACGCTTTTTACGGAAGATGAGGTTGCGCGGAGAAGTACACGGAGATTAAAAGATAGTTTAAGAACCGAATCAGTGAATCCCAGATTTGGAAGTTCTTTGTCCATGGAATTAAAGTATCCTGGTAGTCCGAGAGCAAAGTTCTTGGAGCTTTTAAAGGAGAGAAGACGCATTGTAGAAAATAGTAGAGGTACGAATGCATTTTGAAAAGAAAGAGCGAAAATTATTCTTAAATTATAGGACTATTTTTCACACGTGTTTTGTATTTTGACAATTATCAGAAAAAGAACAGTTATAATAATCGATTTAAATATAAAAATATTTTTAAAATAAAGAGAAACTTGTAAATAATGATATCGATAATAATATTCGCGCTTCATATGTTTTTAATCATTTTATCAGTTTTTTGATTTAACGATCTACTTTTAATACATAGTTACATTAATGACTGTATTGATCATTATTGTGCAAAATATTAACGAATATTAATTTTTAAAAATATGTTAATATTTAATTTAATGTTATTTGTTATTTAACATCCACTATTGATTTTATCAATGTTTAATATCAGAGATGTCAAACTTTTTAAACTTTTCAAATTTTACAAATTTTAATTTAAAAACCATTAACATTTGTCATATACCATAATTATACAAATTAATTAAGGATGTCTCTTGTACATAGTAAGTAATGTAATTCTTCGAGTAATGTCTTATATCGTCACTTTTTTAAATTGGTGATGCACGATTGTCCACTCTACAAATTTTTATACTACTTCTATCATAAAAATCGTAAAATGTTTCAATATTAATAATAAGTTAAAGCAGTTTATTTGTAAGTTATTTGTAAGAAAATTGTATTTAAGAACCCTATAAATCATCTTTATGAGAACGTTAATATTACAATTGTATATCATTAAGACAAAATAATAATTATTGTATCATTCACAAAAATACCTTTTAATAAAGCCTATTTTACGAAAAAATGGAATTAATAATAAATAAAGGAGAAAATACTAAATTATTTTATATGATTTATATTGATGATTATTTATTATTCTTTCTTTTCATCAATAATTTCCTTATATTTCACTTATAATTCAATTGTCATTAGTTCACATTTTTTTATCAGTTTATATATTTAATTTTGCTTCCTAGTTATTTTGACTTTAACAAAAAATCCAAATCAAAATTCAAACTAAATAAATCCATAAATTTCTCTCATACTTTATTCTCTCATACTTTATTCGACACAATTCAGTATTTTTATGAGATAGAATCGAGTATTACGACGCAAACTCGCCGATTAGTATTGTTACTCAACGACATGTGTAACGCGGGCTGTGAATCTCATCGATAATAATTTTACGAGGCAAGGAAGCTCGTATTTCGTGTCATGAAACGACGGTTAACGGCCGACGCAGGCCGCGTTGTTTCAGGAAAGAACTGACGCATGTGCCGCGTATCGCGCAATGCTGAATGTGCAGTGATGCCGACGTCGGCAATTGCAATCCTAATAATGTCGCGAGTCCACTCTCCCGGCGTGGAAAACGCTGCCAGCAGAGCGACAGCGTTACAACGGCTGTTTTATTTTATTGCGTGATAAATCTCCGATACGCGAAAAACTTCCGATCCATTTTGATCCTCCTACCATGTGTGTGTTCATTTCGCTGGAAACCTTCCATTTAAAACTGAAATTTAGTTTATAAAAATAATTTTTTAAATAATTTCATAAGTCTTCAAGCATTTTTTTTACAAATAATTATTATATGTTTCTCAGATAACTGAAGTTAAAGCAAAAAAAAAAAATATTAATCTTGATAAATATTAAAAGAAAAAAGATATGATATAAATGGATAATAATGTGGCTGAGAATCAGCACTGTAAACGAGGTGCAATTATATGTTTAATCTTAACTATAATAAATTATAATAATAAAAATAATAATAATACAATAATAATAAAAAAACCAAATGATTTCTTTTCATTAATAAAAATAGTTAAAATTAAACCCATAATTGTGCTCTATTTACAATGCTGATTCTCATTAGCCATATTGTCCATCCATTTATAATCTTGATAAATTTTACTGACTATGTATGCTTTTTAAAGTTCCGCTTCCTTTTACGTATGGACCACTTGATAAAACGTCATAGGAAGGAACGTCACACCAAAGGAACTTATTCGCCCCGTGAAGATAACACGTCTCGTGGCAGACGAGGGGCGAATAATGCGCAATGTCATCGAAATACAGAGAACTGGAATTGTGAGTGGATCGCGAAGAGAGGCTGATAATTGCATTTCTAGGCCGTCGTATTCTCGCGCACATCGATAAAGATGCACCGATCTGGCGCATACGCGCGCGGCACGTTCTGAAAAGTGCCGCCACGCGTCCGTTTTCCGCTCTCGTCGTATTTGCCTTTGATGCTGATGCAAGCGTAACGATGCTCGTTTAGCCTCGCGTATCGTATCGTATGCGCGGATATGCACGGCAAAGCCAGCAAAAAGACATGCGGATGATCCCAGTGAATTTACACTAAGTCGAAACTCGCACGTTTTTCTATCCGCATTTTGCATCCGCGAGTTTACATTGCCCCTTCGTTTATATTAATAGATGTGACACGTATCTTCGTGAATGTTCGATTTATTTGCTTGATATTTTACGAGTGTTCTATCGCGATGTTGCCTCGCGACATCTGCCAAAGAATATCGCGAAACGATCATCCGGCGTTTCGCAAATATTGCACTCGTCTTCGTTATGCGTATGTGCGTAACTCAAATGTCACACATCTCCGCGATGAGAAATAAATTGGAAAATCTCGTAAAGTCTCGTAAAGCCTTTATGGCGTTTCTTGCATATTACGTTCGCGTACGTGATGTTATCCGCGTTTTTCACGTCCCGTCCGTTAGTCTACTGTATCAGTTTATTGATTATAACAAAATTAATTTAGTTAATTAATCGCGAGCGTTGATCAAAAGTTTTCTTTTGCCTCGAAATATCGAATGTTTTTTTAATGAAAATCTAGATAATTAAAAATTGTATATCAAACAAGGCAAAAATTTAAAAACAATGTTATATAAACAATACAACAGTTTAATGATTTTTCAATTATTATCTAATATCAATACAATAATATTATAAATTAATGTAAACACACAACACTTAGTCTTCTTTTTATAGAATTATTTTATTATTTTTTTTCTGAAATAAATGATATTCCAGAAAGAATTTTCGGGAATAATCTATTATTTAGCAATGCTGAATTGTAATCAAGATAGACACAGCAGCTCTAAATAAACCGTGTAAATGTCGTAAATTCAGTGAAATCGTCGGGAACGATGATTTTATAATCGCGCAGCGATGCGTGCAGATGAATCACGTACTTGTCGCATCTTCGGAATTCTTAATTAAAATACGGCAATAAAAGGCGAATGAGCGAATGAGCGATGTCTGCTTCGTCGCTCGTATATTCCGCGTATATCCGCGATTCGGTCATTCGATCAAACAAAATCGATTTCCGTCACCGATTTCGGAATTTTACGCGACGGTGCCCGAGCGCTCGCACGTGGCGTGACGTGGCGTGGCGTCGCCACGTTATTTTTCTCCCGTCGCGTTATATGCGGATATGATTGGGTTTTTGCGTAAGTTCGACCGATCGTAAATCTCACTTTTACGAGCCTGATTACGGAAGGCCTGATATTGCGCTGGATCGCGTCGATGTGCTGCATCTCGAATAAAATTTCGCCGTGATCAACGACGCGACGCGGCAATCAGATCGACCGATGCAAATCGCAAATAGATTCGAATAAATCTTAACACGTGATCGATAAGTAGTCCTATTAATAGTTATTGTCTATTAATATTATAATATAATTGCATGTTGATGTAATTGCACCGATCTAATATATAATATAAAGATACAACATTATATTTAATATTACATGTATGTAATATTAAATATCAAATTTTGTAATGTAATATTATTTTGAACGTGACGTAAATACGAAATAACGTAATTATTATTTTGGCACAATGTAGTCCGTAATGTAATATAGTCGTAAAGTAGCGGTGGGTCTATTTTTGATATAATGATAAATGTGATTTATAATCCATTGTCAAAATTGTGTTTCCAAAATGTTTAATGAATAGGGAAATTGTTTTTATTTATATCGCATTTATGATTACTCTAATCTAAATTCTGATTACTTGATATTCGTTTATACAAGGAAATCAATTTTTTGAAAATTTAAGCATTATTATTAGTTTTTGTAATTAAGTCTTCTTGTAATTAAGTAATCTTGTAATTAAGTAATCTTCAACGTTATTTACGTTAAATTTGTTTCGACAAGTGGTTATCAAACACATGTAAAAAATGCAATGTTCTGTCGAAAATATAAAAGCAGTCGATATTTCATATATAATTTTATCAATAAATGAATTAATTTAAATTGCATTATTAAATGGGATGTTCGGGCTTTTCATTTACATATTAATAACTATCGTCAAGACAAGCTTGATGACGCACGACATAAAGTGCATACGTTCGCATGCACACGCACGCAAAACACAAGAGTCCATCGATTCTGGAGCACCCTACCGCGGTGGAGATATCTAAAATGTAGGAAGAGAGAGAGAAAGAGAGAGAGAGAGAGAGGAGGGGGAGGGGGGAGGGTAGGGTAGAGG